TAAACTACCAGTTTGTCATGGCTGGATCTATCTGTGACCTATTTATCTTGAAGTGGGTATTTTAACTGCCTTGGGCAGCTTTGAGCTGTAGGATTGCTCAACCTGCTGATGTTGAAGTTGTGACTGGAGCGGGTGCCATGAGCCTACACTTGCCTTGTGGAGATTTTGGCTGTTCCTGAGTCAGTTGTTCGTAACTCCACCATTTCCACTCACGGAATGAGGAAGAGTGGGACGGGTGGAAACAGCTTGCTTTAACAAAGTACTCTTTTATCTTTAGCTGGTTGTTTTATGGGCATCAGTGTGCGACCCCCGGGGGATTTCAATCTCCAAGGCCATCGATTCGGTCAACAAGAAAGAGATAAATCTCGCCAAAACCATTCATTCATCTGCGGTGAAATGGATCGCTTTTTTTATTTCGCTGAAATCTGCCACTGCAGTTTGGTTTGCCATCCTTATCTCGGGCGTGCCGGATAAAACGGAGCGTGCTTTGGGATCTGGGAGCTGCTCCGAGTGCAGGGGAGGGCGGCAGAACCGATCAATCCTCCTCCTCCTCCGCTGACAGGGGAGGAACGCTCATGCTTCTGGGATTAGGTAGAGTCCTGCACGAACACTCCTGGCTCTGTCCGTGGGTGGCTGGATCTCAGTGGCATGACTAGTTGGAAAAAAATAATTTAAAAAAAAAAAAGGAGCTTACTTATGTTAGCGAAGGGAAAAGACGCGTCTGTTCCAGCACCGCCCGGGGAAAACACGCAGGATTCTTACCTCGGGAGAGGGGAGAGGCGTCGTGGGAAGGGCCGCGTTCCCCCTGAGTCATCACAAAACGCTGGCTGAACCCAGCTTGCTCAGCCATCAGCCGTCTGGTCGCACGGGGAGTTTCTAGTAAAGATAAGCTCCATAAAGATAAAGCGGCTCCTGCTGCGTTGCCCGAGGTGTGGGCTGGGAGATTTCGCACCAGGCTCTCCCTTTAGGAGAGCAGGGCTCTTTCTTTGGACCGGCTACGTAGTTTCCTTTCGCCCAGAAGTGTCGACATCGTTTACTTTGAATTGGCATAGTTACAGAGAGGTTTATTTTAACCTGAGTTCTGTGAATTAGGTGACTACTTGGCATTTTACAGCTTCTCAGGTGTTCTTAGTGTGATGACACTGAGCCAGGTTTCATCAGTTCAGTGCCTCTTGACTCCTAATTACCTCAGTTGAGACCTGCACCGAAGATCAGGGGCGAATGTTTTAGCTGAGTTCGCTCATTACCATAAACACAGGCGGGGCTGCAAGTTACAACTCGATCCACTTACTCAACAGAGGCATTTTGTAGTAACTCCATTGTTTCTGTACCTGATAACATTTACCTTGGGAAAAGAAGGTGCCAGCTATCCAAAGCTGATAGCTAAAAAGAAACCCGGCGCTGAAAAAACTTTTGATCTTTTTTAATTATATCTGGAAGGTGGGTAAGACTATTTTTGTTTCCCCTGCAATCTCACCGTGTTAATTTTCATTTATAAATTTAAACCCTATGGGGTGCAGTAAAATGAAAATGTTCCGTTGGTCCATCAGCAACGATACACTTATTTTTTTTGAAGGGGAAAAAAAAAAAAGTTAAAAAATCTGTTCCAGCCTTGACTACCCCATCACCCCACCTGGAAAAGTAATTGATGAGACACGGCACTGTTGGCTCGACATGTCAGCCCCTTTTTCCCTAACGAAAGAGTTGTGTGAAATCATCATGTGATGCCTGCTACCATGAGAAGGAGCAAAGGGGAAACCGCAGCAGAAGCTGCCTTTAAAGACAGCAAATAATACTCTCTGGTCAAATGCTGGAATTAATGACCCATCCAGCACAAGTCCTTGTGACTGCGTTTCAGTCTGACAAATAGCATTGTATAAAAGCTCTGAACGGTTTTTTTTTGAGTCAATCCAGTCAGAACATAGGTTGTGTTGCCCAGATCTCTTTGTTTGAATGCCTTTTGAAAGGCCTTTTCCAGGCCAGGCTGGATGGGGCTCTGAGCACCCTGGGTTGGTGGAAGGTGTCCCTGCCCATGGCAGGGAGGTTGGAGCGAGATGAGCTTTAAGGTCCCTTCCAACCCAAACCTCTCAGTGATTCTGTGGTCAAAATGCACATCATTGGTTTAAGGACGTTTCCAAGGTGTCCTTGAGATGCTCTCAAAGAATTTAGAAATGCAAGAAATCCAGTCTTGGCTGTAAGAACCCTTATGGGTAGTAAAGCCAACTGTAATACATCACAACGCTGGTCTGGATTCATAAATCCCTGGATGTTTTAATCTTGCCTGTGTGACAGTTTGCTTCATTTGAGGAAGGTGCTGTTTTAAAGGATATGGGGGAAGGCTCTTTTTTTAATATGTAACTACCACTAAAAAAATTATACCAAGCTCAGATAATAATGAAGTGCAGCTCTTTACACTAAAACACAGAAATGCTGAGGTGAGTCCTGTGCCTTCCCATGACCCATCTACTTCATGGTGTAGCTAAACTATCTTAATTGTGGTTTGCTTTAGTGAGGGCTCACATTTAAGTGTTCTTATGTTTACTTTTCCCAGTCATTTCTTGCTTAAATCAGGGGGATTTTTGACAAAGGGGTGTTTTCCAGATCTCCTCAGAAAATCAGTTTCTCTTCTGGACCCGAGGGAAAAGCTCATAATCTATTTACACTGTTCTTCCTGGGGAGAACTTTGAATGAGACATCTGTCAGTGTTTCCAAGGTACATGCTTTCTACCTGATCTAGTTTTTTATGTCCTAGTTCATTTTCCAGTGTTACAGCCGATTTCAAGGCCCCCTCCCTAAGACACCCCCTCCCCATTTAGCTTTACAGAACCCAAGGAGGCTTTGAAAACAAGGCAAAGTCAATGTAAGGCATCTTAACCTTGGAGCACATGTTGGTTTCCTATATGCATCTGCACTGGCATTGGACAACTAGACTAAGATGTTGACAATATATTTTTACGATAGTTGCGTGCCATAAATAAATAAAATCCATTTGGCCAAATTGCCCGATGGAGCACTTTTTACTAGGGGGTGTGGAGGGGCTTTTTAAGCATAAGAATTCCTAATTTGCCATTTAGGCATCCAGAAATTTATGATGCTGCCTCCTGAAGTCATGACACTTGGAACACAAAGTACATTTGGCGCATCCTCAGCTTTATGGTCACGGTAATTTTGAGATTTTTGGGGTTTTTTTACCTGCCAGCTCCTGAGTGTAGCTCAAGGCCCAGAGGTTTCTAACATTACCCTCCATTTCGAGCTGAGTCAGGGCTCTTTCAGCGCTGTAAAAAACACTGTTGTCCCCTAAACACGAAGGGACAGGTTGTTAAAGCCGCTGTCCTGGATGCTGATCCTTCCTCGCAGATCAGGGGGAAGGCACAGTGGGGTTGATTTGGCACCACGTGCTGGTTAATCTGCCAGTTCCCCTCCTGCTCTACATGCAGAACTGCTCTACCAGCTTTCATTTCTGTGGTAGATACCCAGTGCTGTAAAACTGTGCAACAGCAGGAAAAAGTATGAAGTGTCCTGCCCTAATTATTCCCAAGTTTTACATTGTTTAAAGCTTTGTTTGGCAGGGGAAACCCAGAGACCTTTTTGTATCCAGGAGTAGCTGGACAAGGAGAGGGCAGAAGCCAAATCTGCCTTTCAGGGCTATGTAACCTTGGGTGTGGTTACCAGATGAATTAACCATTTTTTAAGTCTCTCTTCATGATTTAAATGCGAGGAATGGGGGGGAAAAAAACCACCAAGGGTGATAAAACACCAGGATTTGTGCGTGCTAAAGACAATTAATTCCCTTTTTGGAGAACACCTTGATCTGGTTTTGGTTTTCTGTACCTCAAGAAGGTGACATCCAGGTCTTCAAACTGCATCTTAGTCTGGGCAAGGGTGAGAGTGTAAATGTTCAAGGCACAGAAATCCCTCCAGATGTGCTCATCATCAGACTCTTCACGTCTTTAACACCAGTCCGAGTAAGAGTGGAGGGAGGGCAACAGAAGGAAGTGGGGTTTTTAATCACCTTTGATGAAATTAGAAGGAAAAAAAAAAACCAAAACCAAACCCACAATAGTTGTCTGGTTGCAACACCCCTGGCATTGCTTTCTGTCTAGTTCTAACCTGAGAGCAAAAATAGTCCAGATATTTGCTTGTTTTGGCTGAGCTGGAGGGTTAGAATCTCGCTTGTCTTTTTCGTGGGATTTTCCTAAAGGAAGTAACACGATCTGTGGAGACAAAACATTCCTTACAAGGTGTAAAAACAAGCAAGGAAATTTGGCTTCAAGTGAATCACAGGTCTGTGATTCATGACGGGCTTGGGCTCGGGGATCCCCCTGGCAATCTGGGAGTGACTTGTGCCTGCTGATCTCATCGGTTCCCATAGCTTTGGGCTCTGGAAACCAGGGATTTAGGGGACTTTTAAGGTATGTTTTTCAGAGCGTTGCCTCCATCTTCTCATCAGGCTGGCCGAGTTGCCATCAGTTTTCCAAGCACAGCACACGAGACACACCAAATGATTGCAGTTGCAGTGACATCCAGAGCAGAGATGTTGTCACTGGAACAGGGGGAAGAATCTCAGTCCCTGTTCCGGCCAAAGGCAGAGCTCACACGATTCCCCAGGGGCAATATTTCTTCTGGAAGTGTTAGTCCTAACTGGGCTTTGGCACTGCCTGGGCAGTGCTGTCATCTGCTTGGAGGTTAAATGATGTCTCAAGTGTGAGGTATTTACTGTGTCGCTGTCAAACCTGCTTGAAACTTTCAGCTCTTGCAGCAAACCAGCTGCATGTAAAACAAAATGATAAACCCTTGATAAAACCTTTTTCCATCAAAGGGGGATATCCTCCAATGTTACTGCTTTCTGTATGTGTCCAAACCAATGACTTAGGGTTTGTTTTGTTGTTTTATTTTGTTGGTTTTGTTGTTTGTTTTTTTTTTCCTCTTTTACTGTGTAGTTTCCTGTGAAATAATGAAATAATGCTTCTTTTTTTTTTTTAATTTTCTTCGTAGGTAACAGAGATTTTGCTCCCAATGATCCGCTGGAATTCAAGTCTCATCAGTGGTTTGGAGCCTCTGTGAGATCCCAAAATGATAAAATTCTGGTGGGTTTTTTGGTGCCTTCTCAATGCCTCGTTATGGAGATACTGTAGTGGGAAAAAATGTGAAAAGATAACTTAGAATTTAAACAAAATCACACTAATCAGCATGACTTGAATATTTTTTTTTTTTCCAGGATTTCTTAGCTAGGCTTTGCTTACCTCTTTATAAATAAAGGCTGTAGCATTTTTACCTTGTTTGAAGGAAATTAGTAGAACCGGTTTGATGAAGTTAGAATGGGTTATAAAATCTCAATGAGCTCTCCACAAAATATTATTTCTGAAATTCTTGATGGGAATTATCTACTTACAAAGGGCAGGCTGGTGATCCTGCTGCCCCAGTGCTGATAGTATAAACCCCCTCTGACAACACATGGTTTGCTCTTCTGTAGAAAGCTGGAATTCTGTGGAAGGGGAGTTTGTTTCCTCACTGCTGTGTGTTCTTCCCCAGGCCTGTGCCCCGCTGTACCACTGGAGAACTGAAACCAAACAAGAGAGGGAGCCCGTGGGAACGTGTTACCTGCTTGCTGGGTCCAAATTTGTGGAATATGCTCCCTGCAGGTCAAGTAAGCACAAAAGCACTTGGCGTGGCTTTTCCGTTTGGAGTCCTTCTGGTGTTTGTATCTCGTGCACATTTTGAAGCAGGATGTTTTAGGGGTATTTTCCCCCTTCCACTCAGACACCTGAATCCTCCTCCAGCTGATGGTGTTCAAGATGCAGACCTTGCTTTCTTCTAGGGGGAAAAAAAAAATCTTAGGTTGGCATTGTTTAAGTTATATTTACCACTGAACATTTAATTTTCCCAGTTCTTTGCATCCCTGTCTCCCAGCTGGGTTGGCAGATTATTCAGAGGTTTAGAGCCTTGTTTAAAATACAGAAGTCTAGAAGCTGAATGTGGAAGGTGGGATTGTCTTTTCATTTGCTGAAAGTCATTTTTTAACTGCAGGAATCAAATCCAGTGTGGTCCAACATGACGAGAAGTTGGATAAGTGTATATTGAACTAAATCATGCTAGTTCAGCAGGCACACTTTGAGATAAGGGGGTCTCAGCGTTTCTACCCTGGAGCTGTGAAATCAATCCTAAGATTAACTCAGTCATAACAGTTCTTGCTGGGATGAGCCTCAGTAGACAGAGATTTTTTTCAGCCAGGTAGTCCCCTTTTGTTTTAAGCCAATTCACATTTGTATTCCATACCAAAAGAAAAGCTTATTCCCTATTTTCCACATGCCTTATTTCCTGAATGTAAGTTGCAAATATTTTCCCCCCCAAATTTTGAAGATGAAATGAAAAGGAATGTGGGGTTGCTGTTCACTGTGACTGTGGTAGGCTAGAACACATATTAGTGTTACAGGTAGCCAGCCCTGCAGTTCTTACAGCACTTGGCTGTGAACTGTTGGTAAAGACAAAATACTGATTTAGGAGTAAAGCATTCCAAGGTTCAAGTTCAGGAGTGAAAGTTGACTTGGGAAGAAAAGCATCCACAGAATCATCTGATCTAGTACTGATAATACTTATTTATTTTTCTCCTCTTTCTTTTCTCCTCCCCCCCCCCTTTTTTTTTTTTCTTTTTCTTTGTCAGCAACCATTGATGCAGACGGGCAGGGATTTTGTCAAGGTGGTTTTAGCATTGACTTTACAAAGGTAGGTGGTGCTTTCTCAATTCCTGGGGGTCAGCAGACAAAACACCCCTGATGCAGAGCACTGACAGGCACAGCTCTTAGGAAGCCAAACGTAAACCACCATTCCTTTTGGTTGTGGGGAAACCCCACAACCAAACAAACTTTGTAAACAGAACAAAAAAATAACTTCAAGCCACTCAGACAGCTGTTCTAAACCTGTTTCTCCCCGTGTCTTCAGAGCAGCACAGTTTCACCTCCTGTAGGAATCGTGTCCCGAGCAAACAATCCGCTTCCCCAGCTTGTCCTCAGGTGGAATCAGCTGCAGTGGTCAGGATTTTTGGGACATGTTGGTGCACAGTAGTGTTACTTCTCGAGGAATAATAACTTAGGGAAGTTAGGTAAACAGTGTTCTTGTGAGTCATGTTTGTTTTTCCCATCAGCCAGCAGAAGTGCACTTGGGTTTCTTCTCCTTTTGAGTTCTGCCTTTTTAGAGTTCTTCTTCCTTTTTTTTTTTCTTTAAATCACAATTACTTCTTAAATCCAAGCACAGTAAAACTGTGCACAGATCTGAGAACTTACTGTAGTTTTCACATCGTGCAGTGAAATTGTTTAGCACAGCCTGGACTTGCCAAGACCGTGCAAGTCCTGCTTGTGATGTGACTTCACATCTGATGATCAGGTCATGTCCCTTCACTCTTTGCCCAAGACCACTCTTGTTTTTTCCTCCAGAGGAAACTGCAAAGTGCAGGGTGGGACTGTAAGTGTTTGAATTATTCTACACACTCCCCTCAGGGCTGCTGTGCGGGCTCCAGCCCCAATTAAAACCAACCTCTAACCCCAAACCCTCACTGAGTGGGCAAGCCTGGCTCTGAGGTATCTCCAAACCTCTGACCTGGATTTTTCTGAGTGGTGAATACGGGACTTTTTGGGATTAAGAGCTGAATAAGTGCTTTAATTATTCAGCAAAGCCTGTGGCCTAATCCAATACTTACAGAGCAAGTTCCCAGCACTGGGATAGCTGATGTGGTTAAAGCTTCACCAAATGGTTTGTGGATGGCAGTTGTGGCAAGGAATGTGGAATGGGGGAATTAGAGCACAGTTATTCTGAGTTAAACTTTTCTGATGATAAGTTAAGAGAAAGTGGGGCAGAGGGCAGAAAATGAAACTAGTTTTGGGTGCTGACCTAAGAACGTGCCATGATTGTCATGGAGCAGTCCTAAATTTTTCTCCTAACTGTATTCCTGTTGCCTTGGATCTATGTGGGAAGAAGGGTCTGTCGTAACAAAAGCAAAATTCTGGCTGGAATTTTAAATGGATGAAACAGAGCCATGAGTCACTGAAGGCAGATTGTTTGTTATCTTCAAAAGATAAAATGTGTGTGGGGCAGCGAAGCTACAGCAATGTACATGCATGGAATCACTTCCCATAAACATAGGGCATGTTCTCCTGATTTTAGATGTTTTTAATTCTTGTTTCTGTCTTTTTTTTTTCCCCCCTTCCCCTCCAAGGGAGACAGGGTGCTGCTTGGAGGACCTGGAAGCTTTTACTGGCAAGGTGAGAGATATTATTTGAGTCACAGAGAAGCTGATCTCTGATTTTGCTTTTTGTTCTCTTAGAGATTTTTATCTGCAGTCTTTCAGCCACCGTCAGAGTCTTTGTCAGTAAGAAAACTCTCCCTCTCCCTGCACTGCTTGCTCAGAGCCATCACCTGTGCACTTTGCTAACGTGGACTTGGCAGGATCATTCAGCCTTTGGGTGCAGCTCTCCACTCAGGAGAGGGTTCTGCTGCAATCAGGACACGGCTGCCACGCTCTGCTGCCTGCTTTTAATGTAAATACCAGTGTTTATTAATAGACTTTCTGTATCAAGCCAGCCCACGGGAAGATGCAGCAGCACAGGAGGCTCGTTCCAGTCCTGTGCTCTCAGTTCTGGACAGAATGGAATGATTGCAGATGACACTGCAGATACAATACAATATAGATTATGGTCCTGTAGTCGTTTTTTGGCTCAAGTGACACCTCATCTGCCAAAACAACCTTGTTCTCTCGCACTGCTTCCAGAAAAGAAAAATCTTGGCTCTGAATAGAAGACAACACTATGCTCCTGAAAACTAGATTTTTCACCCTAAACTTTTTTTCCTCATTCTGAGGTACTGGAGGAGTAGTTTTCCCTACCCTTCCTATATGTTTGAATGTGTGTGTGAAGTAAGTGTTATTCTGAACATTTTTTGGGGGTGATTCAAGTTTTATTTTAGACTCAGAGAGAAGAACGTAATGCAGTCACCACCTAGTGGCTGGTGGAGTGGGAGTGGAGGATGTGGTAAGGCACTGTGCTCTCCTCACTTGTGGTCACCTTCCCGGCCTCCTGCCTGCCAAAGTAAGCTCTGGTGTTATGGGATTTAGGAGCAGTGACTCAGTTCTGAGATACCATCGGCATATGAGGACTGAGCACTCCCATTTAAGGCCTGCCTTGTGTGCAGGAGCAGCTTCTCTTTTCAGGGAGAACTCTTTGTGTTCCTCTCTTCGTCAATATGTGCACACATTTTTTTGAGGTGGGGATGCAGAGTCCCGCTTCGACCCTTCCTGGTGCTGGGGAAGAGCTGTTGCTTCAGAAGGCAGTGCCCTGTAAATGAGCCCTGTAAACTCACTGGCTGATGTCACACCTTCCCTTTGGGGTTTTGAGCTGTTCTCTTTCTCTTTAGGCCAGCTGATTTCTGACCGGGTGACGGAGATCGTGGCCAAGTACGACTCCAAGGTCTACAGCACCAAGTACGACGACCAGCTGGCAACCAGACCTGCCAGCGCTGCTTTTGATGACAGCTACTTGGGTGGGTAGTGGCAGACAGGACAGCCCAGCTGCACCTGGAAAACTGCCTTGCACTGCTCACATTTCAGGCTAAATCTCAGCACCGGGCAGATAACCGAGGAGCGACACACCTGAAAAGGCAGTCATTTACGTGTGGTGGAACCTCAGCTGTCTCGCCACAGGCTCAGCCCTGAAAAAGCGCCTGATGACAAAAATAAATGGAAATATTTCCATGGTTTTTTTCGTGCTCTGGGATTCAGGCTGCATGTGGGAATGGCCCAGGTGTGATTTTTGCGTGGGAAGTTGGTCACATGCCTATCTTTTGAAAAGCGGCTGTTTCTAAATAATCCACCAAAACAAAATAAAAATGGGAAATAGTTATGTTTGGGAAGACAAAACACAAAGAGAGTCCCACAGAGGAGTGGGCAATCATAATTTAGCTTCATAGATGTCTAACCAGGTTCGGAAAAAAGCAAGGATGGACCAGGGCAATTCCCAGGATAATAATTTATCAAATTCCTGGAGCTGTTCATAGTCTAAGCTGCTTTGAGACAATATTTATTGCATTGCATTTTAAGAAGAAGAAAGGAGGACTGTGCACAGAGACCTTTGAAGGGTGTGAAGAGAGATGAAAGGTTTGCTGAGGTTTTTAAAGTCTCCTCTTGTCTGTTCAGGTTACTCGGTGGCTGTTGGAGACTTCAACGGTGATGGCATAGAAGGTAAGAGCGTTTGCTTCACTTAAAAAAAGGTCATATTAATAGGCTGGGCAGCTCTTTCAAATCAATAATAAAGTGCATCAGGCAGTAGGAATGAGCTGCTCTGTTCAAGCCAAGTCCCTGTGCTCTGGGCCCTGAGCGTTACTCGTGTCTTGCTTCGTGTTCCAGATTTCGTATCAGGAGTCCCGAGAGCAGCGAGAACTCTGGGAATGGTAGGAAATGTAAAGCTTTAGCCTAAGTGCCGAAGGTGAACATTGCTGGTGTGCTCTAAGGTGTGTTTCTTCGTGTGCAGGTGTCTATCTACAACGGGAAGAACATGTCTTCCATGCACAACTTCACTGGAGAGCAGGTGTGGAGCTCGGCTGGGTGTGGTGGGTGACCCGGAGGCTGTTCCTGTGTTCAGACACTATTTAGGGGGGTAGATAATAGGATGCTCTCTGTGTTGTTGGCTTAATTGCCAAAGCAAAATATTATGTAGTCTGCAGGAATTCCAGTCTTCTTTATAAATAAGGGAAATGCTGCCCATTTTGAGAGTTGGGAGAGAGGACTGGATCAGTTTACTTTCTGTGTAAGAAACAGAAAGGAAAACAGCAGGAGAAAGGAGACCAAAAATAAATTGTGGTATATATCATCATCTCCCTGAAGTATTTTCTGTGCAGATTTGGGTAAGCTAGTTCGTGTTTGTATCACTGCAACTCACAAGTTTGGTTTGAATTTTGTTTTTTTCAGATGGCTGCCTATTTTGGGTATTCGGTGGCTGCCACAGACATCGACGGGGACAAGTAAGTGCCCTCCTCTCAGCACTGCCACCCAGCTTCGTTCTGGAGAGAGAAAAAAAAAGGGGCTTTTATTAAAAAGCCTTTCCCACAGTCTAGATTGCTGTCTTCATTACTGGTTTAACACGTGTCTGCACAGCACTCTTGCTAACACTCAACATTTGTTTCAACAATTGTGGGTTTGTTTTTGTATTTATCTGCATAAATACAGGGGTGCATTCACATTCTTTAAATGCATTGAATTCTGGTATATTTGTGCTTACTCTGCCTATAAATGTTTGCCTTCAGTGGAAATTTAAAGGCAGTTAATTTGGATCTTGGTGTTGGCTTCAGTGCTGAGTTAATCCTGCTAACGGATGCTTAAGAGAATGAATTTTCGTGCTGCTGCTGCTGCAGAACCTTGTCCTTCTGTGGTCCAGTTATACAGATCTGTTTATTGGAGCCCCCCTTTTCATGGATCGAGGCTCAGATGGGAAGCTTCAGGAGGTCGGCCAGGTGTCCATCTGCCTGCAGAGACCCTCTGGGGGCTTCCAGACCTCCAAGCTGAACGGCTTCGAGATCTTCGCGCGCTTCGGCAGCTCCATCGCCCCGCTGGGGGACCTGGACCAGGATGGCTTCAACGGTAGGACATCCTCTGTCCATCAGGGGCTCCTGTTGGTAGAGGGCTCACAGCCAGCACTCCCTGACTGTGGATCTGCACACAAACACTCGGCATTCCTGCCGTGGCTGAGCGGTGGACACCGAGGTCTAGACTCGTTTCGATGCTTGTATGCTACTCCCAGGAATGCTAACAGGAGTTCCATGGATGCATCGAGCAGAGACTATACCATTGCAGCTGCAGCATGGATTACTTGAGCTGTTCCACTGAGCAGCTCATTGCTTTCTGGGTGATAACTCCAGCAGAAACCCTGATGAAATACTCAGCTCTGCACTGTGACTCGTTAGGACACCTGCAGTAGAATCCTCCCGTTTCCATTCCATTCCAAACTGACTTTCTGCTCCAGACACACAAGGAGGACAGAAAGGAAGGTTTTGTTTCAGAGAGCTGGTTAAAAACGTTCTCATAAAAGAGATTTTCCTGGGACAAGTCCGTTCCAAAATGGGAAGGTTTGGTAAAAATATTTCCTAACAACTACGGGTGGCTGTCCCAAGAGCTGAGTGTCTCGAGCCAGTAATTGGATGAGAAGTCTGAGCCTGCCACAGCTGAGGACTCTCAGACTCCTTGCCTGTGCTTCTTGTTACTTGAGGAACTTGTTACTTTCGCTTAAAATTGAGAGCAAGGAAACAGGCAGGAAACGTAGTTTTGGGATTGAGACTTGCAGGAATCCCAGGGAGAACACCTGGTTACGCCCATCGGGCTCCAGCGTTGCCTCAAGGGTAGTAAGGAATTTGAGTTTCTCCAAAAATGCTCATCTTTTCCATTCTGCTCACAAGATAAGTGATTTCTGAAAGATCAGAAATTACAACAGGCTGATATTTCAAATTCTCAGGTAGCTCTTCATTTATTTACTATGAAATCATAACGTCATAGAATAGTTTGAGTTGGAAGGGACCTTTTTAATTGCTAATAGTATGCAGAATCAGTGTGGAGATGTGATATCACTGCAGCTATTTACAGAAGGCATTGGAAAGGTTACAGCTGGTAGCCAAAAGTCTAGTCCCCTGATGAAGTTACCCCCAAAATGTTTCCATCATCCTTCAATCTGAAATAAACTGCAGGCCAGAAAATCACAGCAAAAGCTGCCTCTTTTTAATTTCTCTGCTGTTATGTAGTCTGTTTGTTTTGTTTATTGCTCTGCCTCACTTGGGGAGTGTTAGTTAAAATACTTTCCATCACAGTATGGTGGCAAGATTTGGAATTTTTACTGGCATCATAAAGTTTGTAAATATAAAAATACAAAACACTAAATTTTGAGCCCTTGCTCTTTTCATCAAACTTTCTCAAATCTGAGTAAAGAGGAAGGAAAAATGAGATTATTCTGTATAGTGTTTCATGTTTGGTCTTTGACTGTTGAATGTACATCATGTTTGCACTCCTAGAGCTGTCCTTGCAGTCTAATTAACATTTTGTTTATTACTGTTTATTAGCCACTGAAAATGAGTACTCTTAAATTTATTAGGCTTTAAGAGATAGAATAATTGCACTAACTGGGAGTTCTCCATAAAACATATTGCCAAGCCATGATCAGGATAGACTGGAATTTCATATTTACCATTGGTTTAGGATGATTTAAATTTTCCAGAATTATTAAAATGTCACACCCTTCGGAGGAACATGAGCGTGTTAATGAAATGGGAAGACAGCCCCACTTAGTTTTGTGGTTTGGCACCAGCAATTACTCATCCTGTGTGTTTTAGTAATCTCAAAAGCATCCCAAATCCATAAGATTTGGCTGCAAGTCAGTTATATTGAGGTGCAGAAGCTCTTGCAGAACTATTTCTTTCCCTCCTCTCCCCCCCTTCAAGTCTGTGAAGGATTCTTGTTAAACATTAATGCTTTCTAGAAATAAAATAGCATCCAATTAAAAAAATAACCAAAGCAAGGTTGTTGATGAGTGTTTTAAAGGCTGGCTGCATTTCCTCCCTCCTGACACACACTGAAGCTGGAATGTCAGAAACAATTGACCGATGTAAGCACAAAAACATTTCCTTTCTCTGTGTCTGGAGATGCTGACAGTCCCTCTCTTGCTTTTCAGATATTGCAGTGGCTGCACCCTACGGTGGAGAGGACAAGAGAGGACTTGTCTACATCTACAACGGGAGAGCAAGTGGATTGAATGCAGTGCCCTCCCAGATCCTGGAGGGGCAGTGGGCCGCTAGAACCATGCCCCCCAGTTTCGGGTACTCGCTGAAAGGAGCCACAGACGTGGACAAAAATGGATATCCAGGTCCTCCTTTTGCTCTAAACGCACTTTCAAATAACTTGACCCGAAGAGCAGCCCCACCTCTGAAACAAACAGCATATTTAAATAAATAAATAAATAAATAAATAAATTGTAATGTGTAATATGTCCCCCTTTTTTATTCCCTAGACTTGATTGTTGGAGCCTTCGGTGTTGACACGGCTGTTCTGTACAGGTGAGGATCCCGCTGGGCTTGTACCCAAGTGCAAGCAGAGGGCAAGCTCAGGGGGGTTCTTGAGCTGAAGAAAGAAGGCAAGATCAGTCTGAAATTCTGCCACTCCGCCCCTTTCCAAAATGCTGGAGGGGAAATAAAAGGTTGCAGTGCTGTTTTCACTGAGTATACCTGCAGTCTGCTGCCTAGAATTCATCTTTCTCAGTAAAGTATAGTGAAGAGGAAATATAAATGAGCTATTTTTAAGGCTTTCTGAGTGACAGCTCCCTAGATTCTGACACATGCTGCTATTCCACTGAAATCCCCATGTTCTCATCCAAGCTTGCTCGTTTTGGGACAACACCTTATTTGTTAGTGCCAGAAACAGATAGGACTTCCTCTTTACACAGTGGTCCGTGTTCTGACTGATGGGAATGAAAGGGCACAGAAAAGCTCCCCACTTTTGCCTCATTTACTCAGTGATTATTTGTTTTTCTTGTGGTTTCACTAAATATTGTGTGTTTGTATGTATTTCACAGTTTGATGGGGCAGGTATTGTCTAAGGTGGTGTCGAATGCTGTTCCAAGAGGATGCTTTCTTTGCAGGGCTAGACCAGTTATTCGAGTAAATGCTGCTCTGGAAGTCAGTCCAACCATTCTGAACCCAGAAAACAAAGCCTGTTCACTGGGAGATGTAAAAGTTTCTTGGTAAGCAGGGTATCTGTGTTTTCCTTTGAGGGGAGGGACTTTCGTGGGTTTTTGTTTTGGTTTTTTTGGGTTTTTTGTAAGCTTCCAGTTCTAAAGGATTCAGGAAGTCCAGCCAGCTAATAAGGAAAAAGGTAAGCATTGTCTGAAAGAACAGACAGTACAAAATAAGACCTTTGAACAGAAATAAACAGTGAAGAATTTTAGGAGAAAATGGGAGAGAAAGTGTCTGAAATAAGCATTTTCTTTTCCTCCAAAACAGCTTCAAAGTAAAGTTCTGCTTAAAAGCGGATGGCAAAGGAAAGCTCCCGAACTCACTCAGTAAGTTCTGCTTCTTTAAAAACTTTAAAGTCTTTGTGTGTTGTTAGCAGACGTGAGCACAGGTCATTGTTATTTTCATTATTGCAACAATTAGCTGCCCTTTCAGCACACTCCTTCCCCTTGGGTAGCCTTGTGTGACTCTCTCCAAGAGGGTTTTTTTTGGCTGCAGTTGCCTAGATTAGCAATAGAGTTTAAATACACAACTGCTCTTTGCAAGATTGCTTTAAAGATTTCTTGGGGGGAAAGGTTTGACTTTTGTTCTTGCAGTTCTGTAGGAATTATAATGTGTCATGCTCTGATATGTTTCTAGATTTTTAAGTTAAAAACAGAGTCCAGTTTAGGACAGTGCTTGGGAACTAATGCAGTAACAGATTTTACGCTGGAAGAACTGGAAGTTTGAAAAGTGGCAAGCTCTGTGTTGTCAGTGTAGCTGAGATCAGTGTCCAGCCCCATTTCTGATGGGAATCTGCACTGTGTTGAATGGAATGGAACATGCCTAACCCAAAAAATGCTTTGCACTGGACAGATTTCCAAGTGGAGCTGCTGCTGGATAAACTCAAACAGAAGGGAGCTATAAGGAGAGCTCTCTTTCTCCACAGCAAACAGCCCAGCCACTCCAAGAACATGACTATCACCAAGGGGGGCAAGATGAACTGCGAAGAACTCGATGCCTTCCTGAGGGTAAGTGACCATTTATGTTCATTTTTTATGTCTATGTCAGGATAGACCTGAAATTACTAAGGCCATGTGTCTGTCCTGGGTTATTGCTGCTGTCAGAGGAGGAATGATGGATATTATTGGGACTGAGGCCCTGGTCCCTAAATGGATTGGAAATTTAATTCAGAACTTTGTTACCAACTTCTTGAATGAGTTGATTAATTGTAATTTCCAGGGAATATGAAACTCAATAACCGAAGGTTTACCTCCATCTACTTTGGAGGTAAAAAAAAAGAAAAATATGGATCTGCAACTAAAAAGCCAAGATCAGCAAATAACAGAGGAGACAGAGAAAGTTAAAATACTAAGCTTGTTTTTTCTCAGTCTTTCTGTTTTAGTCCCCACAAATGTGAAAAGATACCAACACAACTAAAAGTGTAACCCAGTGGAAGAAACAGATTCATCTCTGAGTCCTTATAAATCAAACATAAACATTACTTACCTTCCTCTCTAAAAAGCCTTAATAAGCCAATAAAAATACTAGTAATCATTAAGGGTTCATGGAGGATAGGTAATAATACCTTTCTCTGACCTGCCCTGTGTGGGGGATATATGCAGAATTAGACCTCTCAGATCTCAGTGTCAGTAGAGCTTTAACCAATTTCCACCTGAAATTTTCATGAAGAAAGTAAAGATACACGACCTACATGAAGTTACCTTAAATGGGATGCCAAACCAGTTGGAAACTGTGCATAATCAGTGGGTTTCTCCCAGAGAAGATATGGTCTGAAGTAAGATCCTGAAATGAGCTGTTCTACAGCCAGTGATTTCCATTAGCTCAGAAGTTCTCGTGTTGTTTTGGCCCTCCTCGTTCCTTTAGTTGTAATTCAGATCCTCACTTTCCCCAGGATGAATCTGAATTTAGAGACAAGCTAACTCCCATTACTATCTTCATGGAATACCGGCTGGATTACAGGACAGCTGCAGATGCCACGGGATTGCACCCCATCCTCAACCAGTTCACTCCTGCCAATATGAGCAGACAGGTATAATTCTCACACCCTCTGCCATCACAGACCTCGGCTTTCAAAACTCATGTTTATCCAAGGGCTTCTCAAAAATTAAGATACCTAAATGTACATCTGGGCCCTGGTCTTTGAATTATGGAAATGTTGATGGTTATTGTAATTTTGTCTTCTCTCTTTGATTTTTTTTTTTTAAATTTTTTTTTTTTGTTTTGGTTTTTTTCATCTCTCTGGCTGGACTTCCTTTTCACACATCCTAATTCACAGAGTCCTGGAGAAAAGCATTTAGAGTAGTACTGAAAGCCTTAATCTTGAAGGCTTGGAGTGTTTTATCCATTGCTGCTCTATCTACATTTTGTTTATCCCTCTAGTTCTCTTAAGGTAATAACCATAAGGAGGTTTTTTTTTTTCTCTTTCTGCCCTTTACACAAATTTTTTTCACTTGGTTGTAAAGAGGACAGTGGAGGAGCAACTCCAATATGAGCAGATTATTCAAGGTATGGAAAGATGGTTAAGGTGTCGACATCAGTCCTCGAACTGCAGTGGGGCAGGATGAGGCACAGTGCCCTCTCTGTACTCATTTGTTCTCTTCTGAGACTGATGACTTGAAAATATCTCATAACCAGCTATCCAGAATTATTTTTTTTTCGTGGTGATGGGACAATATTATGTTGGAAATGGATGTTGAAAACAGATGCAGGAATTACTACAACAATATTCATTTGGTTTCTGCGTAGGCACACATTCTGCTGGATTGTGGGGAGGATAATATCTGCAAACCAAAGCTGGAGGTATCAGTAGAAAGGTAAATACATGAGAAAAATGCCACAAGGGAAAGGAATTTCCCTACTTGAATCCTAAAATTCTAGACCTTGTAATGTTTCAGTTTGAAGGATGTGTTGAAACAAGGAGGACTCCTCAATGTATTCTATCTAAACTCATGCTTATCCAATTTAAAGAAAACCCATTTTCTGCTTTGCAGCCTGAAGCCTTTAGCATGCAGTGCTGGGAGAGCACAATCCCAATCCCACCTGGCCCCCACTCTGAGTTCACTGTGTTCATTTGTCCTAAGCTGGGCATGCATAGCAAGAATGACCCAGTGTTTGCTCCATTTCTGTGACTGTAGATAGGAGATTTTTTTTTTTAAACAATTTAGAGCTCTCCTGAAGTGTAGGTACTACCTCTAAGATTTCTCTGGTGTCTTGGTGCAATTTCAGAATGTCTCTTTTTTCTGTAAGTTCAGCCACCTCAGTACCTTTTAAAATGTGAACACAGGGCTCGTTTTTGTACTGTTTTTGCAGTGATCAGAAGCAGATCTATATTGGTGATGACAACCCCCTGACACTCATTGTCAGTGCTCAGAACCAGGGGGAAGGAGCCTACGAAGCGGAGCTCTTTGTCGTCGTCCCGCCCCAAGCGGATTTCATCGGAGTCGTGCGGAACAACGAGGTAAATTCCAGCTCTCTGCTTGGGACCCGTCATGTTCCATCTGCTGCAAGTCTTGGGTTGGACAGGGCTCCTGTTAATTTAGTTTGCTCAAGACTTAGCCTGTTGTGTGCTGGGTGAAGGGCTGGGCAGCTGTGAGGCAAGAAGTGATGGTTGGGTTTTACTGTGCTCTTCCACCCCAGTCTGCAGCAAGTCATGAGTTATCCTGACTGCACACAATATTCAAATCTCTTCCCTGACTTTTCTTATCTGTTGGACCCTGCTTTGGTTCGGTTCTCCAGTTTATCTCTGCTACTCTAAACCTTGGGGTGTGGCTTTATCCAAAATCTGATAGCTCCCCTAAGACCTTTCTATGAGTAAGCCAGTAGGGTTTCATGTTATTTTGCCTTCCAATCTTTGGATTGGAGATCCAGTTGCCTTCCAGTCTTTATTTTCCTATTGAGAGTTCTTCGCACAGGTCATAAAGAAGCACATGGAGAAACGCTTTATGTCACAGAAATCATAATTGCTAACCAGTATAAGAGTACTGGAATGTCTCTTTTTATAACCTTGGAAAGAGATCTATCCTGTGTCAAAAACACTCAGCTCCAGGGAAGCTGTGATACTCAGATTTTATTTGATTTTAGTGCTTGACTGACTTCGGGCTGAGAAGTCACACTGAAGTTAGTGCAGCATCTCCAGATTTCATCCAGGTGCCCAGATGTAAAGGCTGGTGTTCCCTAACATTTCTTTCTGGTTGGCTGCAGGCTTTAGCCAGGCTGTCCTGTGCCTTCAAAACAGAGAACGAAACTCGCATGGTGGTTTGTGACCTGGGAAATCCCATGAAAGCAGGAACTAAGGTAAGGTTTGCTCCAGCTGGTGTCTGGGAGCTCAAACAGGAGGGCAGGTGGCCTTTTTCTTAATCACAGCAGTGTTTGGGCAGGATGTTTACTCTCAGGAAATGAGGATCAGAGGTAGCTGGCATTGAGCTGCCCACGTGTTTGGTTAGGACGGTGCTGGCTGGTTTCAAATTTCCAGCTAAATTAAAGGCTGAAAGGAGTGGTCGTGAGTTTTATGATGCAATTCAGAAATGAGAGTTCATTAAATACTGGAATTAATGAATTCTGGTCCCTCGTGAGTTTGTCTCTATCTGATATGTATTTTTCAGTATATAATAAGGAGCTAGCTCATGGCACACCTTTCTCTTAGTTCATCCCTCTTCTGCTTAATTTTGTGAAGACTGAGAGGCAATTTTGTCTAGTTAAAACCTCTATAATTCCACCAAATGTAGCTGATATTGGAAAAATTAAAGAACTATTAATGGGACCTGACAGATTTTATGATGATACAATGTAGTAAGTCTTATTTTCTGAGGAAATCAAGTGAAAAACCACAGTTATAAACACTTCGATGATGCTTTCCTTCCAAGGGCCATTTTGCGTAGATGAATGTGGGTGAACCACCTCCCAAGTGTTTTGAGGTATATCAAGCTGAACAGCACAGCTGTTAAAGCAGCTATCCATCCCCAGCTTAGCACAAACCTTGGGAATGGGGTTTGAATCATTTAACTGTGTCCTGTTCTTTAAACTACAGCACTTTTTGCAGCACTCAGGGAGGGTCAGTTGTGTGTGAAAATGGCTGAAGCAAGGGCGAGGAGCGTGATGTAACCCTCACTTTTGTGCTTTGGCTTTGATCTGCGGAGAGGGAGGTGCCTTTCCAGCCTCGAGGAAGTGGGCAGGTTTTATTTGCCAGTGCTGTGTGTGCTCTCTCCTGGCCACAAGTCTCGAGCCATCCTGCTGTAGTGTTAAGAGCATTAAGAAGCTGTTCATGGTGTATTTGGTGGTGCTTGCACTGACATATGGTGATGTTTTCCCCAAGCTGTTAGCTGGCCTGCGTTTCAGCGTGCACCAGCAGTCTGAGATGGACACCTCCGTGAAGTTTGACTTGCAAATCCGAAGGTATGGAAATCCAGGAGGGTGCAGCTCACCTGGTAGAAAACATGGCCCAGTAAACAGCCTGTGAACTACTCAGGTTCACTCTGCACTAATGCCCTGGTCTTTGCCTCCCATTTGCTTGGAAAATAAACACAGAACGCATTTGTACTCTTGCAGTGCCTCAGAATGGCTTTGGGTTTATAGCCCTCTTTTAAAACTGGTGTTTGGACTCTGAATTCCTTCTGATGCAAAGCCAGAATGTCACATTTTATAGATTTGGAGGATGAGAGGGTGGTCTGAGCATTGGACCCTCACAGTAGACAGCACAGAAGAGTCTGACCATTAAATGGAGAGGAAGAGTTGTGTTCATGGTAATTACCAGATAAGAACAGCGCTGTCATAAGAATAGGATATACAAACCTGAGTTTATGCCTTCTGGAGATGATGTTTAAGATCTGGAGGTGTGATCATTAGGAGTATCTTTACCCAATACAGTTTTACTCAGTGGACAGCACAAATTCAGCTGGTTTGTTTTTTCCCCACGGTGGACAAAAGCGCTTTTTTTTCCCCTTTTTAGGGCTTCATTTTTTCTTTTAGTGTAGTGACTGAATTATTCTCATCCACAGACGCATTTTTCACCTACAAGAGTTAAATAAATTTCCACGTGCCATTCTATTTTAATGGTATAAATAAATAAAAAGGCCTTGGCAGCATTAAACATGTCTTGGATCTCCCACTGCTGCCTGTTCAATTGTGTTCCCTGTTTTCCATGAGCTAGTAAGGTGTGCCAGTGGTAGGTGACTCCAGCTCTTTGGAGAAAGTGATCTTCTCTGGGGCACATGGAATTATTTTAAGGTGTGGGTTTGTTTGGTTTTTTTTTCATTACTTTGTTTATTTAATAAATTACCTTTTATTTTCCCTGCAGTTCCAACCTGTATGACAATCTAAGCCCAGTAGCATTCTATCAGGCTGACCTTGCTATTTTAGCAGCTGTTGAAATCAGAGGGTAAGCACTGATTTATTTTAATAAACATTTTTATGAGATTTGTGCACTTCCTTCTTTATATTCACTGAACTTTCTTTCAGGTCTGCATAAATTTTCAGGAATTTTAGGGAATTTTTAATCAGAAAGACAGCATGGTACTTTCTAGCCACCCTTCAGACTTTCAGATCTTAAATAATTTTAAATAATTAAAGAAACAATTCCGAAAATGAATGTTGTGCCTCCATTACTAGACATTTTTTTTAGAAGGAAAAAAACCCCACTCTTTGTGTTTGCAGCTGCATGGTTTTTTTATTTCTAGGAGTGGTTTCCTAGATGTTGCAGGATGAATGCAAACTTTAGGACAGGAAAAATGTTCCTAAATTCGAGGGTAATCTTTTCATGTGGAGAAGAAAACCGAACATTTGAATGTTCAAGCCACTCAGCTTCTGTTCTTTCTGGTTTTATATGAGGATAAAAAAGTTGGAAGCTGTATGTTAAGCATGTTGAATTTGATTTTTTTTAAATTTTTTAGATATTCTAGAGAATAATATTTATCCTCTCCTAGCTGATAATAACAACTGCTTTGCTCCCCTGTTCAGTGTGTCATCTCCTGATCACATATTCCTGCCTATTGCAAACTGGCAGCCGAAGGAGAACCCAGAAACAGAAGATGATATTGGGCCTCTGGTTCAGCACATTTATGAGGTAGGGAATTGCTGCTAATTCCAGTGACACAGTTCTATGATTAAAAAAAAAAAAGAAATTTCCCGTGTAGTTTTTCTCTGTAGTAAATTATGATTTTTTTTTTCTTTCTTCACTTTCATCTTGCATGGAAGGAAAGGTGTTATTTTTTTAATGCTGTCTGCAAGCAGGGGTGGAATGCCTGCAGTTGGTGCAACAGGAGTGGCCAAACAGAAGGGGCTGGTTACTTACATAATGACACATATTTTACTTTCTTGCCCTTTAATTCTGGATAAAACATCTGAAGTCACTTTCTCCACTCAGGAAAGGGCTCACGGCTGTAAATTATTCAGTTATCCTCATTTGTACTCCAGTTGTTCTCAATCATTCTTGTGAAGTCTTTTTGCCTTGAGAAAGTTCAAGTATTTAAAATGTCCATGTGAGAATGATCACAGATCTAACAGATTAAACAACCTAGATTGTTTAATTAAACACAACTTATTGAGAGCTGGGTAAATGGTAATAGCTGAAAGTTGTCCTAGAACTTAAGAGGCCAATTATCTGATGAAACTTGCTGTTGTATGGATCTGTGCTCAGACTATCTCGGCTCAGGCAGGTGCAGGCTGTGATTCATCCAACAGACTAAAAAAACAACCTATGTTCTATCAGCAAAAAATTACATTAATTCAAGGCAAAAAACCCTGATGCCATGTGGCTTTTCTTCAGTTTACGTTTTGTCAAATTGCAGAAGTAGTTTGAAGTTTTGCCTTCATGCACATTACCAGAGAAAGTGGCATTGTTGGGTTTTTGGGTTTTTGTTGTGTTTGTTTTGTTTTTTTTTAACATCTGTAAACTTTATTTCCATAATCAGCTGAGAAACAACGGCCCAAGCGCATTCAGCAAGGTGATGATGACACTGCAGTGGCCTTACAAGTACAAGAACAACACGCTGCTCTACATTGTCCAGTACGAAATGGATGGGCCCATGAACTGCACTTCGGACATGGAGATCAACCCACTGAAAATTAAGGTGAGCAGGACTGGAGTGGTTGGTTTGTAAGCCCTCAAAATTCAGTGTATTTAGCTGAATTCCAAGACAGCTTAGAACAAGTAGTAAAAATCATTAGTTCTAAAAGAATTTAAGCAAGCAGGGAAGCTATTCCATGTACAGAACAACAAAGAATACTCTTGTATCTTTGATAATCAGAAAGCAACTTTAGTGAATATATATTAAATAAAAATCTCCTGTGCTTCTATACCATTTTCAATAATATATTTTTTATGACTCTTTCAAGTTTTCTCCTATAAATTTGTTATGGAGAGGGCAAGGGAGCATGGCTCTGCCCAGTCCCATGTGTAAATTTGTAATTTTGCACTGGCAATTTCTAAGGGATTACTGAAATAATTAATTAACCTACTGGTCACTTCCTCAAGCCCCTGTTAAAAAAGATTTTGGGTGCGTCTGGTCACGTGTGCCCGTGGGCAGTGCTGTGTGGTACATCAATATCAGTTAAAAACAGAAACACTGAGCAAAAGATTGCAAAACTGAGTTATCTGTTGCAGTCTAAGAGCAGTTCTTGTGCACCTTCAGATTTCTGCTTCTAAGGAGGACGATAAGAACGACACCCTTGCCAGGGAAGATGCTCGCGGCCATCGCGTCAGCCGCAGGGATTTGGCTGCCGCCGAAGGGGACGTGCACACCTTGGTAAGATCTCCAGCACCCAGGTGTTGGCAGCACAGTCTTCTGTGTGGAGCTGTTGGAAAATCAATACCTGAAGGAGCCAGGCTGGCAAAATGGGGCACCTGGAGGGAGCAGGGGAATTGCTGCAGGCAGCACCTCTGCTCCAAAGCGCAGCGGATTCCACAGCACCCTGCGGTCAGCACACGCAGGGGCTGGCCTGTCTGAGCAGGGCTGGAAATAATCTGTCCTAGGAGGTAAACATATTGCCATATCACTGTCTTTCTAACTGCAACCTGTGAGTAATTATCCAGTACTGCAGGTTATTTAGTTGTTATTTAATGATGGTGCTTTGCCAGAGGAAGAGGACAATGGGGGTGTGGTGTGTGTGTGAAGTAAATGCGACTGAGTAAATGTACTGCCCTTAATGACTTGTCAGGTATTTTCATACTTAAAATATCCTTCCTGTTTTTACGTGCAGGGCTGTGGAACTGCTGACTGTTTGAAGATTGTGTGTCAAGTTGGCCACCTGGAAAGGGGAAAGAGTGCAATATTGTATTTAAAATCCCGCCTTTGGACCCAGACTTTCATGAACGTGAGTGACCGTGAACATTCTGTCCCCGTTTCTGAGACATTAAAAGTGACTTTTGTATCCCCGTGCAATACTGATTTTGTTTTTCTTACACAGAAAGAAAATCAGAATCACTCCTACTCCCTCAAATCATCTGCTTCTTTTAGTGTTATCGAGTTCCCTTATAAGAACCTTTCCTTTGAAGATATCCACAACTCCACAGTAGTAAGTCATTTACATCCAGCTTGGGTTACCATACATAATCACCTAAAATCTAATACAAAGACAATTATTGTTGGGTAGCGTTTTTGTGGCTTGGTATAACTGTAATTTTACCAGCTATTTGATTCATATATTAATTTCAGTTGTACACATACAATTGAGGGTAAAGCTAAGACTAGAGCTGACACTATTTATATCTTGAAAGATTTAATTGAAAATGAAATGATGGTGAGCAGTCCTAATGTTCTTCTTACTTCCATTGTTGTTAGAGAAATATTTTACTTGAGATTCGTTTTCTTCTGTAGTAGCACTGAGAGCTTGAATAATGGACCTTTATTATATTTTATGAAGTACTATGGGAATGCAGAACAAAAAGAGCATCTGTGCCCCAGAGGGTTTCCAAGAGAAAGCAGGCAGGGTGCAAACAGACAGGAATACATAGGCCATTTGCTTGGGCTGCCCAATTAAAAGTTTTTGGTAAGCACTATAGCACTAAAAGGTCCTAAGAAAAAGGTTGAAAAGGACTGTGATGGATTTATTTTTGAGTATGGTTCCTAATGCCTATTATTAACTGGGCTTTTTTTCTCTCATAAGCCTTGTGGAGTTGATTTTTGTTTCAAAGAATACCTACCTCCTTTTAAGAAAACAAACAAACAAAAAGCCCTGAATTATTTTTCTCTAACTCCCAAATATCCCCAGATTCCTACAATTTTATTGAAAACCATCAAGCATTACAGAAGATGTGCTGCCACGTTATCACTGATTGCAAAAATACCAAACCAAACAAACCCTAGCCCACTGTTTTCATTTAATTTTAAAATCCTGTTTAAACTTGGGTCGGCCAAGTCTTTATGTCACTGTTAACTACCCATTAATAATACAATTTATTGTGTTTTTCTGTCAGGTTACCACAAATATTACCTGGGGCATTCAACCACAGCCTATGCCGGTGCCCGTGTGGGTTATAATTTTGGCTGTCCTAGCAGGGTTGCTGCTCTTGGCTGTTCTAGTGTTTGTTATGTACAGGGTAAGTGGTGTCTGTTTTTTCCCTTCTATGATGTCTTATTTCTTAGAGTGCCAGCAGTTTGCAGAAATACCTTGGTCCCCTAGCCAGCTGAACCAGTTAAGTTTTTGGAGAACTAAAGGCTTTTCGGCTTTGTCAGGAAGAAGGTGAATAAAAGAGGATGTCCGTGACTGTGCTGGCTTATTTGGTTTAATTTTTAATATTTACTGCCTTTGGAGGTCAAAAATGAGGAAAAAAGTAGGAGATAAAAATAATCTGATCAGTTAAGAAGGGAAGAGAAAGGAAGTGTATGTTTGGGCAAATCACCATGAAATTTCTTTATTCTCTGAATCACAGATGGGCTTTTTCAAACGTGTGAGGCCACCTCAGGAAGAACAAGAAAGAGAACAACTGCAACCACACGAGAATGGGGAGGGGACATCAGAAGCTTAAGCAGAGTTTTATCTGTAAGACATTCTGAAATTTAAAACTGCCTACGTCTTGGTTACAAATATTGCCTTCCCCATCAGCAAAAAAAAAAACCCCAGAAACACTCACAGCTGCAGAGCTGCTGGCCTCGGCATCAGCACCTGCAAAATAAGAGCAATATATTTAAATCCTCCTTTTTGTATTAATCCTGTTGGTACCTGCAACTAACGCAGCTGCACTGACTGCTGTGTGGAAAGCTCACCTGGTATGCAGTGCTTTGACTTCGCTCCCTGGGACACAGGAGACATCCTCTTTTTCTTTGGTTGATGTACCGACTTTCCATGAATTTCCACGTGGATTCTGCATTTGCTCTTGAAGCCAACAGCTTCCACAGGTACTTGTTGGATGACACGTTTGGTTTTGGTTGGTTTTCGTTGGAGTACACTACATTTCATTTTCTAGCTGTTCAAAGTTAGTTGCACAAAAAAATGAATGTAGCTTGTTTTACAGAACTGGAGAATGTTCTTTGACCCATTAAGTCTGACGACAATTTCTTCTCCTGCTCAGAAAAGATGAAATATTCAGTGGAATCATTCACAGCTGATACCTATTCTTTACTTGCTCCCCTGCCTGCTCAGCGATCTGTCTTGTGGTTTCCCTCTAGGCTTTACAAATGCTGTTCTCCGGGTTTCCGACTGCGGGGATTGAGCCTACAAACACAAACCGAGCAATAGAAAGCTGGGGCTGATGTCCTTTCTGTGGGACCTAGGGAAAAGAGATCCAAAGGCTCTGCTGTGTATTTCCACAGAGCAGGATCCAGGTGTTGCACAGAATTCTTGGCAGCACGGAGGCATTCACGTTCTGCCAGGGACAACGTGTTGGATCGTGGCTGCCAAAAACCCATAGCCTGAGTGTCCACAGGGCAAACCTCCACGGGGTTTGAAATGAAGTCTGTACGTTGCTTGGATTGAGTTTCAGGTTCTGGCAGTGGAGGGAGTGCTCTGTGACAGGTTACCTGGTGGCACCCTACGGGAGCTGATGTTGATTCTCACATTTTGTGGCTGGCCACGCCCAAGTGCAGGATGGAATAACGCAGGGACTGTTTGAACCAGGCTATCTGCCAGCCACGTGGATCTTGGCCACACTCACACCTGCCTCGCCTCCTGCCCTGAGAGAGCAGTCAGTGAGCTTGTCAAGCGAAGCAAAGCAGAGCTGGCATCGTGAAAGTGTTTGGAAAGGGAAGGTTGATTTGGCTTGTTTCGTTTCACTCATTCGTTGTTTCATTGGCTTGTTTCGTTTCACTCATTCATTGTATGTTCCACTGCACAACAGACATTTCATTGCACAAGACATTTCATTATGTTCAAGACATTTCATTACCAGAAAAGACACTAAATGTTTTGTTTCATTGTTGGTTTTTTTTTTAAAACTTGCCGACAGGTCAGTGGTTGAAAGGCACAGGGTTACATCATTCTTAGCCCATTTCCCTCACCACTGGTGTAGTTAAAGTGAAGCCTCTTGCACTTCTGAGAGAACACAAGAATACTGTCTATGCACTTCAGTAGACAAGTAACTGCAAATTAGGAGGTGGCTCAGCTTGCAGCCATGGGTAACTGTGTTGTACAGATCTTAGAGTGGACATACTTAACTATTACAAAGGTACCCTCTGTGAGATGTTTATAATATAATTTATTCCCCTTTGGCAATAAGTTACATTATAAACTCCCTATGTGCAGCCACATACACAAAGGAAGTCTTCTACTGCATTTACACCACCGAGATCTCGATGTAGACAAGCTCTTAAAAGGACAAAAAGTCTGGTTGGTTTGGTTTTGTACCTGGGGGTTTTTGTTCAAAGCTGCATCTCCCCCGTGAATACAGCAAATCCTGCTAAACCCAGAATTATCTGAAATGGACAGTTCGATTCAAGTCTTATTTCTGCATCCTTTCAGAGATTTAAAATCCACAAATGGATTTTGTTGTTCAGTCCATTCTTACTCTCTGAACCACGATGGCATCTGAGTCCTTAAGGAAGACAGCACAAAGTCTGTGGGGGCCAGCATGAACACCAGATATAGACTTGTATATTTATCCATTTACATGGGTTTGTTTTAGACAGTTTGTTTAGATATAATTGCTTTATTTGAAAGGCTGTAGGGCATACTTTTGTTTTAACTGAATCTCCAAGGCCTTCAGTGAGACCAGTGTTTTATTTTTGCCTTTACTTTTAGCACTGTTACTAGTTTTATAGCAAAGAACCAGGAGTGGGGCTTTAATCCTGGCCTCAGAATGTGTCTTTGGTAGAACAGCATTTCACTCCCTGAACACGGGCTCGTAGTTCACACACTCTGTCAGCTGGTTATCGAGGAGATTGGTTTTACCTAGCCTTAATCTTAGTAGGTTAAGAGGTTTTGAGAGACTGTCAGACAGATTATAGCTCTAATTCTTACATGTGTGCTTTCGTTACATGTAAGCACCACGTTGACTTGAAACTTATGGGACTACTTGCATGTCTAGGCGTTATAAGGAGATTAAAACCCCCTTTTAGGAAAGCACGATGGAGGGGTCTGGTCTCTCCAGCTCACGGGGAAGGGGCACTGTAGCATTGTCAATGCCAGCCCCAACTGCACCATCATTGCACTCTGCCAACTGGAAACTCATTTTGCCGACTTTCAGGGTGGAAAAGGTACATTTTATTGGTACAACTACTGTAGCCGTGGAAAGCTCCTTCCTTTTTCGAAGTCCCATAGAGTAGTACTCATTTAAGGGGTTTTTATTTCCTGCATTCCGCTGGAGAGTAAAAGCAAACGGTTGCTTCTCCCGCGTCCGCTCATTTCCAGCTTGGTGTAAAAACCCCACAGTAGGGTGAGTAAGTGGAGTGTCCAGGTTACTTAGTGAACATTAGATGCAAAAAACCCCAAATTCAGTTTAAAGTGCTTCAGGGAGGTCTGGAACTGGAAGTTTTCCTGAGTGGGGGTGCGGGGAATGTTTAACAGCATGTTCTACGTTCAGCAATAAGATTCCAGGCTTTGTATGGGCTCGAGGTCAGTATAAATATCGTACTGACTCACAGGCCTCGATGTATTCTCATAGCAAATACTGCAGAATGAGGTTACATTTTTTTAGAGAAACTTTAAAAAAATGTATTTTGGGGTGAAATGAATGCCTTTGAGTCAAAATCGATGTGCATAAGATGCATACTGGAAGCATTTAAAAAAATACAAGTACAGTAACAGAGAATTAGCCTTCTTTCTGAGAGTTATGTTTCAGAAGGATATTTTTAATGAATATAAAATCAACAGCTATGTAATTCTTTAGGCAATAAAAACATTTTAAAAGAGAGATATATATCTTTTATAATGGAATATGAATTTATATAAGTACTCCAGTTTGCAATTATTGCAGCATCTCATGATCAGTGAAGTGACTTGTATTACAAAATGCGTATTATCTATATTTGACAATATTTTGAAAATGTAAAGCAAGGAACTTAATTTATAGGTTTACATCTCTTTCAAGAAGCTATGAAATTGTGGAGATAGCTTTTTTTTTTTTAAGTGTGACTGTAAAATCAAGTATGGGCTATGTTTATCAACATGATTTGAAATCTTTGAGGAAACGTTTGTATCAAGTTCCTAATTTTATTTGTCACGTTTTCCTGTTTTAAATCTTGATTTACATGTTGAACTTTGATTCACGTAGCATTTGTGGGAACTTTAAGAAACTCTATTATGTGTGCTCTTTCTTTATAAAGCATTTATTCCAAGGAAATATTTTAAATATTTAGTTGTTTCCAAACTCATGTCCACACTTAAATCATCTTTAAGGTAGCCTGTCGCGGGTACATTGAAAATATTTCGGCCACAGTGAGCATGCTCTTGGTTTGGAAGGATTCACGTTGCACTGACATTTGTGCAACATTTGGCTCTGCTGTTGGTTGCCCTGACAGTATTTTTTGTCCTACACCCTCACAGCCACAGAGCAGCATCACCCCGGTGACAACTGGGTCAGGTTTTGTGTTTGGTCCAGACTAACGTGATCCTTTGTGTTCAGTGCTGCTGGCTGTCAGTGAGAGGAGGGGAGAAAAAAAAAAAAAAAAAAGGATTTTATAAAAGCAAAGTGGATATGCAAACAGCGCAAAGGTCGTGGCAGACCCTGCGTGAGCTGTGGTTTGTCCGGCTGTGAGATGGGAAGAGCCCGCTGGTTCTCCCTCGGCAGTGGCCTCTTGTCAGGACCAAATGGCAGCTTGGCTCGGGATCATGTGCTGCATCTCGTGGAGGTGGGTGGGATCTGAACTCCTCTGGTACTGATTCTCGAGGTTCTGATTCCCACACGCAGTACAGCACGAGCAGATCTGGTTCTCTGCCCAGCTGGCCGTTTTTGTTTGCCTAAGAAGGGACGTAGCACTTGTTGGCTCACAGTGGTCTGCAAGGGCAAACAAAACCAGTGTGTGTCCAGCTGAGGTGAGAAATGGATGGAATAGGATGTTTTTGAGGTGAGAAATGAATGGAATAGGATGTTTTTGATCGCCCACATTGGGTGAAACACGGTGTATATTCTCAAGTGCATCCATTACTAACTCTTGGGTTATTGAGGGCTGGCACAGTTTAGCCCATTGTGGAAAGTTTGACTCGAGGCTACGCAACAGTGGTTTGGAATCTGGAACGTTACTGCTGTTTCATGTGATTATGGTATTTAGGATTTTGGTGTATTTTTTTTTTTCCCAGTGTGTAGGATTTTAATGTAACCCAGGAAATCTAACCTTTCATGCAATGACCTTCTCTAGATATGCTGCATTAAACTTGAGCAACCTGACTCTTGGGCTTTTGCAAAAGTGATTGAAGATTTAACGTAGCATTTGAATCTTCAAAGAACTTGGACAGGTTTTACTTTTCTAGTCCGTGAAGGAAACCCCTGTTTCCTATTATACAGATATAACGTTTTATTTCTTTGTAATGGAATTATTTTGCCTTTCTTTTTTTTGTTTGTTTGTTTGTTTGTGCATTAAATCAGAAGAGCATTGTTTGCACAAGCAGGAATTTAACACACTAACAATTAGAGTGCTGCATTTTGTGTTCCTTAGGCATGTAGTAAATAGTTGTAAAATAAATGGGAATATTTTCAGTTCCTCTGAACTTGTTTCCAAGGTCTTCGGTACATTTAAGGAGAGCAATACACCTTTGAAGTCACCTTATTTTGTATTAAATTATAAAGTGTGAAAAAAAAAAATGGGTATTGTGGCACTGTAATTTTGTACTGGTATGAAATATATAGCTGTTAAGCTATGGTTTTTCCTTTCAACCCATTTGTTTCATCCTAATGCAAATTTGATTGTTTTTATTAGGTTGTATTTTTCTACGTATGTATACAGTTTCCAAATGTTGTGATTGGGTAAATTGCAAAATGCAAGCATTGACTTGATTCTGATATTTAGAGTTTTGGAATAAAATACCTCTTAATCAACAGGAATTCTGTTTGGTTTTTCTTTTTTTTTTTTTTTTAATCTTAAGTGTATTTTTTAAAATGCATGCAATTCACCAGCAAATATTTTGTAGTATATGTTTGTAATTTACAGTTATCTGCCCAATACAGAAAGGTCCCATTTACACAGCTTTTACATTCTCAGCTCAAGGACCCTGAGTCAAAAAATTTTGTAATCACAAGCAAGAAAGAGGATCTGTTCACAAATTATATTCTGACTCTTCGCATGATACATTGTATGATACTTTATTGCATGCTTTGATAATTAGTTTGTAAATTACTTAATCCTTTCTGACATTACTACATTAATGTTTTTAAATTGCCAGTTCAAGCACTTTTAAGACCACAGAAATACTCAGGTAGTTGAAATAAATCACTTACTATCAGCTTTCACCTCTTTTCAAAGAAAATTTGGTTAAGAAAACATAACCTTGATTTTATTTTTGCTGAAAATGAGTGTTACTGTGTCCTCTAATTTTTCTTTGTCATTGATCTAAATATAGTACAAACAATTAATTTTCACATGTGTTATTCCCCTTTTGGAGCCATTTTCAAGAGAGTCTTTATGAAACATTTAAGATTTTTTTTAAGATTTTTTTTCTCTTCTTTATAAATAAATAATTGCCCGTATTCGTGTCATCAACTTTAATTTAAAATGTTCCAGCTGCCGAGTTGGTTCAACTATTCCTCTCGAAAAAACTTTTATCTTGTTAAAAGCCCAAGTCTGAAAGCATTTGGAAGTGAACATAGATACGATATTCTCAATATATTTCTCAATACCACAGCTACTCATCAGACAGGTTCATAAACAAAGGAAGCAAATGGCTCAAAGCATGAGCAGGTTTTTTTGTAGACCCTTTTCCTCTACCTGAGACCACACAATGTTACAGGGAGTCCAAAATGAGTTCAGTTGTAACAGCAGAAATAGATGCTTTTTCTTTGCAGTGCCCAGATAAAAGGTTGAAATGGGAAGCTGGGGGAGAGGATGTTAATTAGGCAAATAGGCACTGAGCATGTTTGCTAAACAAAAAAAGAGAATTTCTGCTCTTTGCGAGCTGCTGGAGGAGTCCCACACCAAGTAAATGACTGTCTGGGTTTCCTGCTCCTTTGCTTTCTTTCAAGCAAGGTCCTGTCAAATGCAATCAGGTTTTCATGGCAAAGGGTGGTTTTTTTTGGTGGTGATGAAGAAAAGTGAGACTGACAATAAAGAAAAGTGTTGAAAAGTACCTGCTGAGGAGGGTGCAGGTTTCCCACTGCAGCATCACCCCCTGAGCAGTGATGGTTCCCAGTGCACAAATGGGGGAGGTCAGGCCATGCTTCAGCTGTCCCCAAATAGTGCCAGTGAACCATCAGCACCTGCAATAAAAGTGAATTGTATTTCCTATGTCAATCCCCAATCTATCTGCAGTCGCTGTTAATGGCAATGAATCAATTACATTGTACTGTTCAGAATGACATTATAAGGAAAAATACATTAGATTTTTTTTGTTTGTTTGTTTTAGGTTTTATGGCAGATGTGTTGGAAATGTGCACAGTAACTTGGCAGTTTTTCCTTTCAGTATGGGAGAATTTGTACTCTTCTATAGCTTGTAACTTTATTCCTCTTTTTTTCCTGCAATGGAGAAACGTTGGGCAATCTCAAAACTACAGAATTCGGCCTAGTATGTTATTGTGCCTAAAATAAAAAAATTTTACTTGGCTAGTCTTTGTTTTATGAAAAGGCAAATCAAGTGATCTTATACTTTTCGAAGAAGTTTACATTCACTACTCAAACATGCATTAAAAATTTAGCATCCCCCAGTTCTGTGACACTGACAGTCATCATAACCGTATTTGTGCCTCCTCAAGCTTTGATTGTCCGTGCAGGCATCTCTTCACCTTATTTATTTAGATGTTTACTCCCGTTCGCAGTCCCGACGTCAAACACTTCACATATTTTAGGATAAGGGATGCACGTGGGTAACATCGGAGTGGGGGGATATTCGTGAATGCGAGTCCAGAGAAGGGCAACGAAGCTGGGGAAGGTTGTGGAGCACAGGTGTGATGAGGAGCGGCTGAGGGAGCTGGGGATGTTTCACCTGGAGAAAAGGAGGCTCAGGTGGGACCTCATCACTCCCTACAACCACCCGGCAGGACGGCGTAGCCAGGTGAGCCTCGGGCTGTGCTCACAGGCGGCAGGACGGGAGGACACAGCCTGAAACTGCGCCGGGGCAGGTTTAGGTTGGACGTTAGGAGGAATTTCTTCACGGAAAGGCTGATTAGACATTGGAACGGGCTGCCCGGGGAGGTGGAGGAGTCACCTCCGCTGGAGGTGTTTAAGGAAAGACTGGACATGGCACTCAGTGGTTGGCAAGGTGGCGGTCGGTCCCAGTTTGAACTTGCTGATCTCTCGGGGGACCTGACAGATCGTGTGACGCTGTGAACCTGCGGTTCTGTGACCGCCGGTGCCAGAGCGGGGCCGCTTTCCGAGCAGCCACGGGGCAGGGCCGGCCCCGCAGCCCGCCGTGACCGCCCCGGGGCTGCACCCGCTCCGGGCAGGGAGCGCCGGGCCCGCTGCGAACGCCGCCGCTTCTCGGGGGGCTGAAACGAGCCCGGCGGGGGAGCTTTTCCCAGCAACGCGGCCTCCCCTGTCCTGCCCTGCCCTCAGCGGCCCCGCCCGCCTCGGGCCCCGCCCGGCACGTCCGTGGGCGGGCGGCGCCGCCGCCGCAGTGCCGGGCCCGCGGCCGCCGGAGCTGCGGGAGCCGCGGGAGCCGCCGGCCCCCCGCAATATGCCTCCGCTGCCCGCCGGCTGCTCGCCATGCCGGGCCCCTGCGGCCGCCTCTCCCCGCTGCTCCCGGCGCTGCTGCTGCTGTTGCTGACCGGGCGGCCGCCTCCCCTCGCCGCCGCCGCCGCCGCCCCCCGCCCGCAGCAGCAGCGGGCGGCGCTGCCCGGGGGCGCCCCCGCCGCCGCCTCAGGTACCGACCCCCTGCCCTCCGCGCCGCTTCCCCGCTCGCCCCTGGAACCGCAATGAAGCGCTGAGGGTGGATGGAGCGGGACCCGTCCTCGCTGCCGCCGCGCTGGGATGGGGGACGGCCGGGAGTGGCCCCGGCGACCGGGCAGGGACCTGGATGGGGATGCGCCCCCGGGCGCCGGGAGAGTGGCCTCGAGTGGTGGGGCTCCAGGGGTTCCTGCTGGCTCGCGGGAGGCGCCGCAGCAAGGTGTCTGTGTGTACATTTATATATATATATATAAAATATTCATTTATTTGTTTCTATATTTATATCACTGGAAAAAAAAACCACAAAATAAACCAGCTCATACGTGTGCAAGCCAGTCTCGAGCCTCTCAAGTGAGCGATGGGGCTGGTGAGCTCATTAGTTTTTTTTTGCATCCCTTCTGCAGAGCGGAGAAATACATCATTTGTCGAACAGTATCAAAACGATGTGCTTATTTCAGTGTTAGGGTCTTGATGATGCGGTCATATATATCTGACTTTATCCCTTTGCATGAGTAAAGCAAGTGATAAGTTGTCCGTTCTGTCCCTTGAGTTTAAAAAATATGTGTATACCCTGAAGTTTAGTGGCTGAAATTAGGATAAACCCGGTGTTTTTCTTTTGCCGAAGAATTTCAAGATGGTTTCAGGCATGAATTATTTAAGACCCTTTAACACCAAGGCTGCCTTTGGGCATATCACTAGAGCATATGTTTCATTTTTAACATATATGCATGCTTCTGTTTCTGGTTGACTTCAAGAAGGTATAAAATGTGCTTAGCTTTAGGCAGATGGTTAATATTTCGCTGAATTGAAGCCAGTTTGCAAAGCTGCCAAAGTACGTGTGTTAATTAGGGAATATAAGCAAAGATATTAAATTATGGTATTTGCTTGTAATTTGTTTAAAATTTAGGACAAGTAACTAGAATATGAACAGGCTTAATTTTTTCCTCATACACTCTTGAAATGCCTTGGTTTGCTTATCAGTTTCTTTCTTGTGTAGGTTTGGGTTTTTTGGGGTTGGTTATTTTCTTTCTTTTCCAAACATTTAAACTGTAGAACTTTGAGCTCTTGAAGAACATTTCAGGTCTTGTTTTTCCTGTTGAAGTGATGATTTTTCATTAGTTTGTTTCTTACCATGCTTTTAGTGGAGTACACCATTAGTCACCAGCAACCCCCACTTAAAAGGCGTTGGCAGCATTTCTGACTTGCCCAGTGAACATTTTGCTCATTAAAAATTGAGAGGCAAAAAAAAAAAGAAGAGCACGGTTTTTGTAATGCAGCGACCCTCTTTGGTTTCAGGTATTGATTTCTTTTCAAGAAGCTCCGTTCCCATATTGCCTTCAGCCCTGGCCCAAGTCTTTGTTGGTATCTAACGTTTTGATGCTGATGCTGTTGGTTCGCTGGGGTTGCTGCTGCTGCTTTCTTTTATTTGCTTGTTTTGCTTCATAGGTTTTGAGGTCTGAGAGTCCAGAAGTTTATGACTGTTAAAAATCATCACTTGAGTTGGTCGTGTTTGTTAGTGCATGCTTAAATACAGTTAAAGCTTCATTTCACTTGTTGGCTGGATTTCTAAAAGATCTTGATTAATTTGTTCCGTTATAAAAATAAAAAAAAAAAAAAAGAAAATCAATCTTTTAAAAAGATTAGCTGATTACTGCTGTTGAAGGCTTTATTATTCTGAAGAAGCTGCTAAGCACCTTTGTCTTTTGTGAGGTATTTTCTTTCAGTAAAGCACTGTAAGTAGTTTTTGCTTTATTGACGTTTGTGAAAATTTTTAGAAGAGGAGCCTGACTCCTCTTCTAATGTATGTCTTTAACAGATACTAATGTCTCTTTAAGTGAAATGCTCGTCTGGTGGTTTACAGCTGTAAGGTAGGCAGGATAAATGGCCCTTCCAGCAGCAGACTGGCAGCAGGGTAATCCCTAAGGGAAACGCTCTGAAGAGGCCACTCCTGCAGCAGCTGCAGGTCCTGCCCTGGGAACTGCCAGGCACGCCGTGGCTTCTGGAAGTAAGGAGGAGTCTGGCTGATTTTTGGATTTAGGCAGTGTGTTTGTGACCCCGCTGTTGCTAAAGCAAAGGAGGCTTATCCTCCTTAACTGGGGAAGGTGCAGAGCGAGGGCTGGGAGTTCACAACCTTCTGTCATCCGCTGTGTGTCCCTGTATCGATGTCCCTGTTCTGCCGAAGCTCATTATACCGTTTTACAGATCAATTCCCCCCTGGATTAACTGACTCCTGCCAGCGTCATTATTGTGCTGTCTGAGGAGAGATGCTGAGGTCAGCACAGCTGCGTGTGCCGAGGTTTGGGATGTACACACTGCTCCTGATGCCTCAGTGCAGCAGGGAGAAGGTAGTTTGCACATCACCGCTGAGCAGGGGTTTTTGTTCATCTCTTCCTTTTCCCTTAAAAACAACTGCAAAGTTACTGCTGCCGAGAGAAATAAATTCTTATGACGAGGCAGAGAACGTGTACAAGAGGGACCCAGTTCATGGAGCTACTCTGACTCATGTCCTCTGACAGATACAGGCATTCTTACAAATTTTAAGAAAAAATAATAATAAATTTGGAGATAGAGAGAGAGACAGGATAGGGTAGTGATTGCTGAAGTGGAGAACCTGCCTTGATTCTTCCCTCATCATGGTGAGTTTCTCCATTTTCTGTGTGGCAGTTTAGGAATCTGGACTCTGTGCAGGAGCAGTTGAAGAGAAGTCTCTGGGAGCTTTGAATATTCAGCGTTAAGGTCAGCGGGCTTGAGCATGGAATTCAGTAAATTGTAGTCCTGGCTTTGATCCAGGCAAATCTGGTTTTGTTTTCCGTGTTCCCTTTATCTTTACTGAGATGCATTTTTTACAGGAGACGAGGGCTGTGTTCTTCAGTGTTCACGGGATATTCTGATGTGGCACATTATTATTCTCTTTATAATGCAGATATTGTGCTGTAAACAGAGCAGAGACCACTAATTGAATAAGGATACTTACCTGCATCGGTTCTGTGGCAGGTCTGACATGTACTGAATGAACAAGATGCTTCTGCAAAAAAAAAAAAGAAAAAAAAGGCAGCTGTGTAAGTGGAAGCTGTCACATTACATATAGACAGCACATGGGATGACATGCAGCATCTTAATGATGGATTTAAAAAAAAATAAGTGTTGTTTCTTCAAGTTTCTGTCATATAACTGCATGTTCTGTGCTGGGGGTAGTCCCCTGTACCTTTTGTAATCCCAGCATGAGCAAGAAAAGACGTGTCATGCTATTTGTTTTAGACCATTCCCAATCTGCCTCACATTCCAGAATTCAGGGGGAAATTCAGTTTATTTGTTCGTTTTTTGTTTGTTTGTGGTTTTTTTTATTTTATTTTTTTTATATTTTCTTTTAGGCAGATGGATTTGCATGGGATGGGAAGATGAGCTTGGTTCTGTGGGGTGAAATTCAAAGGCAGTGGCAGCTAGCAGAGGTGCTGAACAAAGGAGAGGGGAGAACTGGAACTGCTATGTGTATTTATGGAGTTAGTTCTATTTGTTGAGACAGATGGGATAAATATGGGATTGTTGACAAACCCAGAAGATATGATAGCTTGTTATGTTCGGCTGGGTTTGAATTTGAGCAGTAAGACATAATAATGCACTTAAAAAAACCCCCCAAAACACAGTGCAGTGTGACTGACCTGTTTGTCACCGGGTGGAACAATCTTTATGGTTTACTCTCTCCATAGTCACTGGATTGGGGATTAGAATGGCAGCAGTAAATCCACTTTTGGTTGGGAACTTTTGCTGCACTCAGATACCCCAAGAAAAGGAGTGAGGAGTTAAAAGCTGTGTGGGAGGTCCTTCAGCATTCCAGGAAAGAAGGAAATTCAGTCATTTTCATGGCTGAGTGATTATGTAGGGTACAGTTCCTGCTCGAGAAGTCAGGGCTGTCTAACTGGGGGCTACTGGTCAGAACTGGCACTGTTGGACACAACCAGCAACACAGCCTTCTCATCCTGTGGATTTTGGCATGTAATTGGTGTCAGAGAAAAGGTTTATTTTCATGTTAGAAGTGTGACATGCACACCCCAGCAAAATGGTTTAGTGCAAGCAGTTAACTCCAGCTATGGAAACAAGCTCAAAAAATGTCCTTTGGTTTGCTGTTCAGTTTTCCCAGGATTCTCAGCCTCTTTACAGTAGTGTTTTTTTCAGCTAGGTGAGGAAGAATGCAGCACTTAAACTTGTCCTGATTTATTGGAGCCCATGTGTCTTAGCTTTCTGTGCTGATCTAAGACCTAGCAATGCAAGAAGAGGAGGAGTTTGGGTTTTTCCATGGTAAAACACACATGAAAAAAAAAAAGGCACTGTAAAAAGCTGAGAGACAAGGCCAGACAGTGCCAGTGTTTGAGCTCTCACTGAAATGGGCCCCACGGTTACCTGGTGAGAAGGGGCAGGGAGGAGGTGAGGAATGATGGCAGGAAGCTCCCTATTGCAAGGTGGTGGGGTTTGTGGCTCTTGTTTGTTTTGCTGAAGTTTCCTTACTTCTCGTTGATCTGTTGGCAGGGAGTACATCATCAAAGGCAAATTTTATGGAGAAACATCCACAGAATTGCTGTCAGGCCGAGAAAAAGGCAGGTGTAGGAATTGGAATGCAGCTGCTATCTGGGTCACTGGGGATCTGTAGCATGCTGTCTCTGTGAAGCAGCTCAGGAGATGAAGCCTTTGAAGACAGAGGCAAAGATCTGAGAGGAAAGCTTATTCAAAATAAACTTAATTTTTGGCACGTCAAACTTGGAAAAGCAGGGCAGGTTACTTTGCTGTCTTGAAAGTTGCATAGTTTTATCTTTAATATCCTTTAATGAGTGGGGATTCAAGGCACAGAGCAAACGAGCCCTCTTGATTACTCCTGTTGGGTTTAACTCCTAATTCACGGATCTTGCATCTGGTGTGCTGTGGGAGCACCCAGGCCCTGTGATCGACCATTTCCATCGCCCCACAGGAGCTGGTGTGCTTTTG